AAAAAAAAAAAAAAAAAACAAGAAAAATTATTATTTTGCTTTTTTGTCAGCAATTTCAGATTAGATTACGGTATGTGATTCTACCTGGAACTACTTGGAGTGATAGAGAAAATTCAAAAAACCTCGGTTTTCTAAACGAACCTGTTTGTAATTAAAACTAGAAAAAAATTTAGTCCGTTCTTGCCGCTAATTTTGAGAGACTGAAAAATTTTTGCCGAAAAATTCAATTAATTTTGCTCTCAGTCAGTAAAGGAATAAACTTTCCTGTGCTAAAAAAGTACTAATATTTGGTGCACTGTCATGCGGAACAATTGTAGGAACCATGAAGTCAACGCAAAAGAATGCTTAATGATCTTTCAGGACGTTAGCGTCGATCCTGCGCAACGTTAAAAAAAAAAACAACATCTTTCGTCATTTATTTTTTTCTTCTCGTCTTCTTCTCCCCCTTTCTCTCAACATTGACGACCACCACTGGTTACTGCAAAATATGTGGATCAAATTTTTTTTTCACAACTAGTATACTTCCATACAAAAACGCTCCTACAGCATATATGTAAATATATATTAAATATATATATATATATATATATATATGCATGAATATGCGTATATATTAATATATTTGTATGCATATTGCAGCCTACTTATTGAGAGACTGGAGGAAGAAAGAAAATAATGAAACAGCACCGCAAAAAAGAAAATGTAAACAGAAGACTGATAAACGAGTTTTGATGGCGTGTGTGGGCGATGCATCTCCGAGCAAGCAAATTAAGAAATTTTTTCCCTCTAAGTGGCAATCTTTGAAGCTTCCATATCAGCCAACAACAGAGACAGCACCAGCGTTACCGCAGTCTTGTTCATTACTATCAACAGTATCAAAACGCTACTTTGTTCCAAATACCAATCGTTCTTGCTTACTTCTTTCTGCCCATAAAAAAAACATAGTTCTGATGTCGTCGTTCGACGTCACCAAAACGGTATAACTAATGACTACCATATCAGTGTTAAAAAGTCGTAATACAGCTTGTAAGCCTTTTTTTAGCCCGCTAACAATCGTCAGAGGACTGGAAGTAACACAAGTTTTAGTGCCGTAATTGTTTAAAGTGGCTTCTAAAATTAAAAATGACAGCTGTGCTATAATATTTTTAAGTGGTGAAAAAGTACGCTAAAGTCGATATCAGAAAGGAATGAGCGAGAGATTGAATAAATAACTTTTAAAAAACCAAGTTATTCATTTATTCATTCTTAAAAAGACAAACATTTTGTCGTTGGAATAAGGAGAAGGCGCGTAATGCAGAGGTTACTGCCAACTGATATTTAAAATTAAAATCCAGTTAAATATCTCAAAATAGTTGAGACTGGCTGAGGACTCTCTAACCCATTTTTGAATACGCCTAGGCTCCATCTCCTTGTTGATAACATTTTAAGTTTTGAACGAAGAGACAAAAATTAAATTGATGGGGACTTGAATTTTCTAGAAATAGTGGCTATCTGTAAACTTTTGCGATCTGGAGGAATGAGCGAAATGAATAAAAGTAAAGTTTTTGAACAACATATCAAGCATACCGTGAGTTAGCTTGTAGAATACTAATAACGAACTCCTAGGTGTTAGATGTCTCAAATTCACGTAAATCAAAGCCGAGAAATATTAATTTTCTTTTGTAGCTGATCTAAGTTTGAGATAATCATACAGTATAAATTGAGGCTGCATTTCTTCAATGAATTTTTAATTCAGAAGAGAAATACATGACAGTTTCATATTGTATAGCAGACACTATGCATATTTTGTTCAGATATATCAGAAAAATTGTTTTACAATGCTTGAAAAGCGTTATAAAAAGCAGATAAAACTAAAACTTTTCCCTGCTACCTTACTGAAAAAAGTTCTTAAGAAGAGTTTGCCACTAGCACGCAGACCAAAATTACCGGCCACTGGCTCGCAAAGCGAAAAATAGTCTAATAAAGACAAATTTGGATTGGTAAATTTACCATTGGCCCTTAAAACTTTACATTTTTTTGAAAGGAAACTAAAGCAACATAATGTCAGCTCTCTTCACTATGTCATCAAGATCGTTCTGCAATGGGTTATTGATGTCATAAGTAACATCAGATTTAAACAAACGAGACATTTGCAGTCATCAGCATATGGCAATAATTTATTACACTCAAAAATTAAAGAAGGATCAGAAGTGAAAAATGACAATAATAAGAGTCTCGATGCCTCCTCTGGTAGGTATCAGAAACTAGAAGTGCCGAATCAGAAAAACTATTGTCATTAACTGACTTTCATTTTCTAGAAGGTCCTAACCTGTATAAGCAAACTACCTGTTACTTGCTCGGTTTGCAGACTTAGAATCGACTTTGCCAAAGGCTTTAAAAACATAGGATAGAATACTGACATCTCAATTTCGCCCATAGCCGTGCTTAACCAGAGCAAGTGAAATTTTCATTTTTTATAGAAATAGATTGC